CATGGGGCACGCGTAGATGGAATTGAACATGTCGAACAGCTTGTGCGAGTCCAGCTCGTTCTCCTTCTGCTCGTTGCACCACCACAACCAATGGTCAATGACGTTTGAAAAAAAACCATGTTTGATCACCTCTCAGGGTGATGTGACGAAAGAATGGAAGAGTGGCGACGAACCTGGGTGTAGGAGGCCATCTTCTTCATCCAGTTGAGGTCGGCACCGGCCGAGAAGGACTTGCCGTTGCCGGTCAACACCACCGCACGAAACTGTGCAGTATGGCCGCGCAAGGATAATAAATAATCAAAAATAGACTTGAATAAAATAAAAATAATGATTATAATCATGAAAAAATAATGTGGTGCACCTTCTCTTGGGCAGCGTCGCGCTGGATGGTGCGGAAGGCGTCGGTGATTTCGCCGATGACCAGCTCGTTGAAGGCGTTGTGCGTGTCTGGCCGATTGAGCGACACCCATCGCACTTCGCCCTTGTCCTCCACCTGAAGTGCAGATCGTTTGGTCCAAATCCCCCTCGGTCAGGCCTTCCTCGGCACAAATCTTGCAGCTGCTGGTGCCGATCAGATGTAGATGGGAGCCACAACGTACATTGATGAAATCGTACTTCTGTTTCACCTCAGTGCTGGCAGCCGCTGTGGTAAAGGCCCGGCGACCGAAGCTAGCGGGGAGCTGCCACGACCGCACCGCCCCTCTGCCCACAACCACCTTCAACGTGGCACGCCTCATCTTCTTCTTGAGTGCAAATCTAATCTGTGGATTTATTTATTTATTTATTTATTTATTTTTGAAGCCATTTCTTTTTTCCCGGCCCAATGGGCAAGCCCGAAAGAAGTCGGGAGTGACCGCGGCTGTCGGTTGTGCAACTCCTCTCTCTCTCTTTCGCTTGTTTTGGGTCACGCCAGAATAGCAAAAGAAGAAACTGTTGATGATGAAGAGGATGCCGCAAGTCGTATTGCTCGTGGTGTGCGCGTTGGTCTGCGTCGCAGTTGCGAATGCGACGGTCGTGAACGGACTGGGCGACCAGGTGCACAACGCCCGACCCATTGTCGGGGTGATGGCCCAGCCCACCTACGCCGACCCCCAGTACAAGGGACTCGGCCGCACCTACCTCGCCGCCGCCTACGTCAAATGGTTCGAACCCCCCCCCCCTTCCCTTTCCCTTTTCGTTTTCTCTATTTGACGACGTTGCCTTCATTTTTTTTTTTTTTTGTCAGGCTTGAGAGTGCGGGCGCTCGCGTGGTCGCTGTGCAGTACCGACCCCCACACTTCGCCAGCAGCCTGCGCAGTGCCGCCTGATATGTGTGGGCGAAGGGGAGCTAATGAGGGTTCT